TAAGATCTGAAATTTTATTGATCATTTTTATTACTTACAGCCTGTTCCACTAACTTTCCTGAGGCTAATTCTTCTTGGAGTTTCTGGGCTTTCAGTGTTCGTTTTGCCTGACCAAAAAAAGAAAAAAAACATTTGCAATTTACTTACAACATTCAAATGAACATTTACTTTTTGTAATATATTTAAAGAGAGTAAGTTTATTGTTTTCAGAAAAGCTCAGTGGACAAGGTCATCCCCAAGATTTCCTGGAGCTCCAGACTTATGGTTCTCTAAGGAATAGGAGTTACAAACTCCTGTTTGAAGCAGGCATGAATGGAAACTGAGCCAGACAGCACCTGTGGTAAACTGCAGAGAGCAAGCCCTATCTAAAAGGGGCAGTTGCCACCTGACTCCCTGACTGACTCTTGTCAGGCAGGCCCAGTATTTCCATATATTTCACTGTTCAAGAAAAGATAAAATTCAGATTATGTAAAATCCCATGATTCTTAAATGTTATCTCCCCCTTAGAAAAATAAAAAGGCAGTGTGACTATGGATTTTAAAGAATGAGGATGAGTAGGTGAAAACATAACAGAAGAAAATTGAAGTTTAGTTAAAGAAAAATTCAATTTTCTGAAACAGGTTATCTTAGTTCCCATTCTACCACCCTCTAAATGCTCTAAGACAATTGTAAAATAGGCTCTGGGCAAGATACAGTATGGGAACCAATTTTATAACCTCAAAAAGCCAAAAGCTTGGACACTAATCTGTTCTCACATTTCCAGTATTTTTTTTTTACAACCTAAGTCAGGGAGTAAAAGACAACACAAGAATCAAATAAAAAGAAATTGCTACTAAATGGGGCCAGTACACTGTTTATGTTCACTATTCAATTAAGCTTACATAAAAATGCCTCCGTTTTTAAACTGCTTGAAGGCTTGAAAAATAGAGGAGCTAAATTAGTGGTAGAGCAAAATGTTCATCCTTTAAGGATGCTAGGAAAACAGGGAATTTTGCTCACCAGATCAACTTTGGCATATTCTTCTACAATTTTCATGTGTTCTTCTGGATTGTAGCCATTCCACCGATCCCTCTTCCCATCATAGTCAAACATCAGCTGAGGCTGGACATGTTCATCTGGAGCTATGTTAGTTCCTGTAAATTTTGCTCCAACTCGCCTGGGTCTCTGGAAAACAGAATAAGATTACATCTTTCCCTAAGTACCTGTAGCACAGAGGAAAACTTCCTATAATCTTTACAGAGCAGGTATGAACATACACCACGGGACTTTATTGTCTAGTTCTTAAATCACCAGTTAGTCTTCCAGCAGAAAAACTTGATAATGTTGAACTATGTCACGCAAATTAATTTTTATCTAACTGGTAGCTAAGTTTAGATAATTTTAGAAAAATAGAATCAAGCTTTCTGATAAGGAATCAAGAAAGACCCAGACAACAGTTTCCACAATTCTCAAAGGTGAATTTACCTCAAAGCAGTCTTTCTTTTTGTGTGTCATGGCCCCACAATTTTCACATGCTCCTTCGCGATACTTAGTAGTTATGGAATTCTATAAATGAATGTAAAGAAAAACAAAGGATATATTTCATTTATCTGAATAAGTTAGAAATAACATTGACTCTCATTATATTGTCTGATGAAATGATTTATTTATGAAGAGGATAACCAGTTAAGAGTCTCCTACACTTTTATAAATGAGAAAGTTTAAGGACTTCAGCAATATAAAATTTTTAAAATAAAATACAGAAGCTAATGTCATATGTGTGAATTTTAATAGCAGATGGAAGGTTATATAAGCTATTGCTATTTTATATAGCATTGTATTAAAGGTTGTTATATTAAGTTCTTAATCTCCATTTCTACAGGGATATATACAGGATGCCTACATACCTCTTTTACACCCCTCTTATACCATTCAACAGATGAGCTGAACTGCTTCTGTTTTTCTGGTTGTGGTCTCTGGTGCTTTAAAGTAGGTCTTTTTGATGGATCAATATACCATGGCACTGAAGAAATATACTGAGGAATATGAGGGTTGATGTCTCTGTAATAAAAAAAAGATTTTTTTAAAAAGAATAAAGTGCGAAAATAATTGATATTACAAATTACTAAAGATAGCCTATACAGAATCTAAGAACAGAGATATTGCAGTGGGGGGGGGGGGGGGGTAAAGGATCAACTTGATATTTCTATAACATAATTTAAATAATTAAAAGAAAACAATAAAAAATAATTTAAATTAGAGTGAAAAATTTCCCACAAATAAATTAAGAACAGTGATATAACTGAAGGAAGAAGAGAGATGTATTTTAGTGAGATAAACCTTGTATCAGAGAAAGAGGTAAACTAGTAATATCTTAGAGTTGATTAAAATAATGGGTTAGGTATATTATTTAGACATGTGTAGGTACCAGCCAGAAAAACTCAAAAATACAAAGATTTATAATTAGTCACTTTTTTACAGTGGGGCAGGGAGTGGGAAGGGTTGAAAGGGACTATAGCCATTCATTATAAGTCCTTCAATATTACTTGATTATTAAACCTTACACATGAGTTTGATAAAATAAATAAAACAAACATGACGTAAATGGTAAAGATAGCTTCCTGCCAAAGGATGAGGAATTGATAAAGTTAGACATGAATCTGAATTGTGAATGAAAAGATCATACAAAAAATTACTTACTTTCCTTCTTCATCAACTTCTGCAGGAGCATTACCCAGTTTTCGCTGTTCTTCTAGCTCTTTCTTCTTTCTCCAGTCCTCTCTGGTCATCTTCTTTGGTTCCTCCAAACTCATTTCTTTGGACCCTGCCACGGGGGCGGCATTAACTGTGTCCACAGCTGCAGCCGCCATTGTTATCTGGCCTCCTCTTTAAAAGGGAAGAAATCTGTATTAGTATAAACTAGGCCTTCATGAGTTCATCAGTGAAACTATCAAAAGTATATATTAATAACACATACTGTGAGTTATAAAGTTTCATATGTTCTTATTCTTTCATAGTATTTGTAAGGGAAGGTTTTCTTTCCCCTAAATAAAAATCTCTACTGTAGTAGTTACTCCCTCAATTCTAATTTACAAATGGAGAGACATACACACAGATTTAAAATTTCATAGGACTCTCTCATATACATTCCTGAATTCCTCTCTACGTAAATGTTAAACTTTTCTACACAAACTCTTAAACAGAGTCTGATCTTTATTACACTTAAAGACTGAATGTCTTAAGAGTTATCTAGCCGAAGCCGGTTTGGCTCAGTGGATGGAGCGTCGGTCTGCGGACTGAAGGGTCCCGGGTTCGATTCCGGTCAGGGGCATGTACCTGGGTTGCGGGCACATCCCCAGTGGGAGATGTGCAGGAGGCAGCTGATCGATGTTTCTCTCTCATCGATGTTTCTAACTCTCTATCTCTCTCCCTCCCTCTCTGTGAAAAATCAATAAAATATATTAAAAAAAAAAAAAGAGTTATCTAGCCCAGCGGCATGGCTCAGTGGTTGAATATCGACCTATGAACGAGGAGGTCACAGTTCAATTTCAGCTCAGGGCATGATCCTGGGTTGCGGGCTCCCTCCCCCGTGTGGGGACTGTGGGAGGCAGCCAATCAATGACTCTCATCATTGATGTTTCTCTCTCTCTCCTTCTCCATTCCTCTCTGAAATCAGTAAAAATATATATTTAAAAAAGAGTTATCTATATTTATTACCTCTGTTTGATCATCTACTTCCCTTCTCAACCACTCTAATTTAGCTTCCAACCCTTACCACTCTGAAGAGTTACTACTAAGTGGACATTGTTTTTCGTTCTGTTCCCTTTCTCTTTGATATATTCTTATCCCTTGGCTCATGGCACACTATACTCTTCTGGTTTTTCTTGGACCCCTCTTGCTCCTTCTCCTGGCTCCTGTGCAGGTTTATCCACTCCTGCCTAGTTATTTAATTTTGGATTCTGCAAGTCCTAGAGCCTCTTTCATCACTGTGAACTCCACTAGTGGACCAGCTCATCTATTTCCAAGGCTTTAATAGCTCCTTCCAGTTTCCTCTCTTAATAGAAAACACCACCATTCATCCCTTTACTTGTTCCAGCTAATCCCCACACCTATTTCATCATTAAAAAATTTTTCACCTTCTGAATATCCATATTCATCTAACTGTCAATGCTACCACCATAGTGTTACTACTTTTTCCTACTACATGCCATTTTAAATATTCCAGTAGCCACATTAAGACAATAGAAGGAAACAGGTAAAATTACTTTTGCAATATTTTACTTAACCCCATATAACCAGTATATCATTTCGCCATAAGAAAAAAAAACTGTCTTTAAAATCTGATGTGGATGTTACACTTAGACTAGCCACATTTCTAGTGCTTAAGAGCCACAAGCAGCTAATAACTATTATACTGGGCAGTGCAGCTCCAATGACATTAATTTTTATTTTAAAGACCACGAAAGACACCGTCCTGGTCTGACTGGGCACAGAATCACGTCTAAGGCTTCATTTTTGGCCCGCGTTCCCTGTTCCCTCCTCAACCTGATATTCATCAGCCCCTTGAGGATATATCTTCAGAATTAGAAGTTTCCGGCCCATTTTCCGGGTTCTCCTAGCTTCACCTTCCTCTTCTGGTACCGTCTCCGCGCCCTCCCGCCCTCTACTCCGCGCCGTCTCCGCGCCCGCCCGGCCCACTCCCTCGCACCGTCCAGCTCCCGCTCGCCTCCCCATCCTCCCCACCCAGGTTCTCAAAATAATTCCTCACCAAGTCCTGTCGCAGCGGACCCCGAAACCACCAGACAGAAACAAAGCCAATACGTCAATGTTTACTTCCGGTTCTCAGCGCTTCCCAGCAGCCACCGCGGGACACATGCGCAGTAACAACTCTTTGGGTCTCAGGATCCCGAGACGTCGGTCTCGCGAGATCTCGAGTTTTGCCGCTCTTCCCACTCCCTCGAATCAGTAGTCCACGCTGTAGTGATATTTTTTCAAAACCCTAATTTGTTCAGATCACGTCCCACCCCACAAGCTTAAAACCCTCCAATGCAACGTCGTGCCAGAGAAATATGCCAGCCCTAGATGTCATTTTAAACATTCCAGTAGCCTTATTAAGACAATAGAAACAGGTAAGGTTACTTTTGCAATATTTAACTCAATATATCCAGCATATCATTTCGCCGTAAGAAAAAAAGTAAAAAGTCTTTAAAATCTGATATAACATCATAATTTTTACTTTGAAAACAACTGGAGACAGTCCTGGTCTGACTGGACCCATGTCTGAGGCTCAGGATGGCGGCTTCCTTCAAGGTCCCCGTTCATATTAAGACAATAGAAACAGGTAAGGTTACTTTTCAATATTTTAACTCAATATATCCAGCATATCATTTCGCCATAAGAAAAAAAGTAAAAAGCCTTTAAAATCTGATATAACATCTTATAATTTTTACTTTAAAAACAACTGGAGACAGAGTCCTGGTCTGACTGGACCCATGTCCGAGGCTCAGGATGGCGGCTTCCTTCAAGGTCCCCGTTCCCTGCTCCCTCCTCAGCTTGGCGTTTGTCTCCCCTATGAGGATATCTTTAAGAATTGGAAGCTTTCGACCCATTTTCCGGAGTTCTTCAGCCTTATCTTCCTTTCCCCATGCCCCTCCCCCGCCCTCCAAATGGATTTAATTGCAGTTTCAACCTCTCCCAGAAATATAATCTAATCATGCAGCCTGGACTTCCTCATCAAGCATATCAAGGAAAAGAAGACTTGAACTTTTACAGATTTAGGAAGAGAGATTTATTTGGGCACATCTGAGGACATTGCCTGAGAGCAGAGTTCAGGGATATTTATATAGGCCGGGAGAGGGGGGAACAAAGAAGAATATAGCTATGCATCAGCTGTTTTGGTTAGTTACATATAGTCAAGGAGTAATGGCTTTCCATCAGGTGGAGAGAATATACAGATAAGGAAGGGTCATTCAGCACTGGAATCTGGAGCCATGGGAAGGGTTCTGGAAGCAATTATTTTTATATTTTTATCAGGATGTAGAAAGAACAGTCACTGCCTTCTACAACCATTTCTCTTTTTAATGGATACTGTTGGAAAGTATATGTGGCGTGGTTAGGAATTTTCTGTTCCCTTGGTTACTGATCAAGTCCCAGCAGCAGCTTAGACATCCTTTCCTTTCTCAAGCACCAGCAAGGTTGTCTGTCACAAGGGCCCTGTTCATCCACGATCCCCATAGAAAGAGAGTCCATTTGCATGATAAAAATCCTCCCCCTTAAAAAAAAATGTCCTGGTCCCCAAACAAACCGTTCGTTTTTGTTAATATCTCCTTGCTCCATCCTTCTTCCTATAAAAACCTCCCCAATGCTCTTGTAGTTGTTAGATGGGATGCTGCCCAATCCACGAATCATTTAATAAAGCCAATTAGATCTTCAAATTTACTCAGTTGAATTTTTTATTTTTTGTCCCATCTGTTCTGGTCACATTTAAATCGCCCCCCCCCCCAAATAACCTATATTCCTTTAAAAGGTAAAAGTGAAAATAGCTAACATTCTTACCTCAATAAGATAGCCCATTACAATGTCATTTTTTTCTTATTAAGAATTTGCAGTGTCTAGAATTTAGGAATGTAAATGTTTTGATTCTACAGGGCAATAGATGAAGGAATGGAAAGTGTCAGAGAATAGCCTGACAGTCTACGAAGCACTCACACTTGTTTTTTATCTTCTTAAAACATTTATTGGAATTTACTAGGAAGAGTTGAGGTCTATTTAGTTCAAATCACCAGGCACAAGCCAGGGAGCTCATCTCCCAGAGGAATCAAAGAATGTGCTGGACAAGTCAGAAGAATCTTTTGTGGGGTTTGGGTTCCTCCCTGGAGGACTGATTCTGAGGATGGTTTAAGGAAGCAATTCTGGAAGGTCGCTGCTTGTCAATCAGGATTAGTCTACACTGGGGTTGGTTAGGATGTAAGTACCCTTATGAGGTGAGGGAGGTGTCAATTGGATAGCCCACTAATCGTTGGAATAACAAAGTGGGTCTGCGGCTCATTAGTAAGGAAACAGTGGTCACTCCAAGAGGAGGTAGTTATGGCATTTTCAGTTACTAGGGAATGACCTTGGGAGACAGTGCTTCCTGTTGTAAGGGGAAGAGTTACCCTAGGGCAGCGGTTCTCAACCTGTGGGTCACGACCCCCTTGGGGGTGAAACGACCCTTTCACAAGGGGTCGCCTAAGACCATCAGAAAACACATATATAATTACATATTGTTTTTGTGATTAATCACTATGCTTTAATTATGTTCAATTTGTAACAATGAAATTGGGGGTCACCACAACATGAGGAACTGTATTAAAGGGTCGCGGCATTAGGAAGGTTGAGAACCACTGCCCTAGGGAAATATAAACCTTGCAACCAAAAACCTTGGGGGAAAGAATCCCCACTTGGAAGTTGTATGTGGTGTACGGATTTGGTTTTAAAAATCAACACTTTTGTGTGTCGTTGATATAATATGGAGCTGAGATATGTAGAAAGTGATACAGGGAGAAAATAAGGGAAGGGGTGGGGACTCAAAAGAAAAAGGACAGGGAAGGGGTAATAAAAGTATGCATGTTTTTAAAAAAATAGGTTTTTATTGATTTCAGAGAGGAAGGGAGAGGGAGAAACATCAATGATGAGAGAGAATCATTGATTGGCTGCCTCCTGCATGCCCACCACTGGGGATTGAGCCCACAACCCGGGCATGTGCCCTTGACTGGAATCGAACCCAGGACCCTTCAGTCTGCAGGCCGAGGCTCTATCCACTCAGCCAAACTAGCTAGGGCTATGCATTTTTAATTAATTAATTAATTAATTTTGTCTTCTCTCTTTTCTTCACCTTCTTGTGTTAGGATCCTTTCTTCTTTTTTTAAAAAAATATTTTTATTGATTTTGGAGTGGAAGGGAGAGGGAGAGATAGAAACATCAATGATGAAAGCGAATCATTGATCAATCATTGATCATCTGCCTCCTGCACGCATCCCACTGGGAATCGAGCCCTAAACTAGGGCATGTGCCCTTGACCGGAATCAAACCCGGGACCCTTCACTCTGCAGGCTGAGGCTCTATTCACTGAACCAAACCGGCTAGGGCTAGGATCCTTTCTTCTTGATGCGGTAAACAACATTCAATAATTATTTGTTTAGTGAATGGATCATTCCATGGTCAATTTTGGTCCTGAAATGCCAGGGAAGAAGAGCCGATGAGCTGGCATATATTGAGAACCATATCTATGACAGTCCCTATTATAGAATTTTTAAGGAAGCCTGAATTATGTATTCATTAGGATCATTATTTTGTTCCTAAGCCAGAGATTTCTGTTTCAGTACTAGAAACAGCATCCTAGCCTGAAATATTGAGGAAAGGCCTTCAGTGAGGGAATAAGCAGTCCATTCTTAATCACAAGCATAACAGAATGACTCAAATATTGCTGTTTGATCTATCAGTACTTATATTTTTTTCTTAATTTTTAATTCTGCTCTGCTAGTGTTCTTTAGACCTAATGGGTTGTTTTCCCACCTGACTATATGTATTTTTTTATATCTCTAATTGAAATACAGCTGTTTGTTATGTATCCATTTTTCCTCAATTATTTTCGTGAAGACTATAATGCCTTTTCTCCAGGATACCTCTTCTTTTTGAATTTGATCTGGTCTATTTACTCTGGACAAATAATTGATTAGTTGAAGACTTTAGGAAAATAGGTCAGCTGCCACTTCGCCTTGACTTTTTGAACTTCACAACCTTTTCATTTAAAAACGTTTTGGCCCCTCTGGTGTCTCAGGAAAAACAAAACTCTGTATCTTAATATCATAATAAATGGTGACCATATTCACTCCCCTTCTATCTGTTAGTAAAAAACACACCTAAAAGTCCATTATTAAAGTGTCACGTGGTTTGATTTTTTTTCTTCCCAAGAAACAAGCTGTAATCTTCTAGGGAAAAAGCTTTCGGGGCGGAGCCTAAGGAACGTAGGTTTTTCCCATTGGTTCTTCCTGGGAGTCTCCACCCCACTCCGGTCCCGCCCACTAGGCGGGTGAGCCAATAGGAACTTGAGTTGTGGTTCAAACGCCGGGCCGGGCGCGACCGCTGAAGGCTGAGCCGTGGGAGATTTTGGCTGTGGATCCTAACGTGGGTGAATGGAGAGGTCGTGAGTGGTCAGGCGGGGACGAGGGAGTGGGGGGTGGTCTGGTGAAGAAAAAGGCGTGTTGGGGACCG